TGCACAAGCATTGAACAAGACTTCCAGATCTTCGATATCGATAGTTTCATGTATTTGTTCAATCCAGGGCTAGTTTATGCACCATAATATTCAAAACAAATCCACTCTATCTCAAAATATTGTTTTAATGAAACAAGATTTGACCATGGTTCTTATACTTTTTTTGATATTTTGTAACACATATATTTATTTTTCCCTTTGACTAGATATGCGCAGGTAACAAAATACTTGAAGTAAATTATGAATGCATCTCCTCAAATCAATGTCGTTAGTCCCGCCTATTACATACCGCATGCAATAAACTGAACTATTGAAGTGTATCCATGAGCCTTATATAATATATTGAGTGTTGCATTAGTAGCCATTTAAACTTTCAGTAAAAGTAAAGTATGTTTTATGGAGTGAAATATTTGTTTTAAAAAACATCACTGGAGGAGAGAAGTTCTGTAAAGACAATTGGGTAAGTTTAAAATACAAATTTATACTATTTTCTTTAACATTTAGCTTAAGTATGTTTTCTCGCTAGTATATCTCCTGTCTTAACTCGGTCAATATGCGCAATTTCAAGGCGTTGATTTTTCACATATATTGGTTAACGTACTTGTGTGATTCAATATTTCTCGATTTAGCAAACCTGAAGAACTCTCTGAGACGGATTCTCAAAGAAGAACATCCCTTTTTTCCGCAAAATGATATTATCTGGATATTCAGTTCTCTGCAAACGTTAATGACTCAGTAGTTGTTATCAGCGTTTGGAGTAAGGTCAGTCAATTGCTAACATTTGTAAATTGCACATTTTTTTTTTGTTGGTCATAATATTATGTTTAATTGTCTTATCCCTTAGATATTAAGACCAATATTATCCCTCGACATTTTTATTTATTATTTTTGACATAATAAAGAAATAAACCCCTTCTACCGGACACGAATGGAGAATAAAAAAATGATTAAGACATACTAACACTTCTGGTCCCAATACTGGTATCAAAACACGTAACATGCTTCTGTATACCTACCTATATGTTAATGCCGCTACCAATGAAATGTCATTTGACTATTTATGGGTTTCAGCAAGTCAATATAGCGGCTCGCTCCTACGTAACGACTTATCTACTGTGAAATTGACGGCTAATGCGAAAGTTGTTAATCAAAAATTGAAAATGTTTGCGTACATGATTATAGGGATTAAACTCATATTGTTGTGAGGTTATAGCTGTGAAAACTGTGGCGCTGAATCACAAACTGAGAGAGTCCTTTGGATTTTTCTTAAGTATGTGTGATTACACACAAATAATCTATAGAAAAAAGTGCTTAATCTTTTAATGTTTCATATGCGTAGTATATAAAACACTTAAATATTAGTTTTCCTATATTCCCTAGTAGATAGCAGAATTTTTAGCAGGAAGAGTTTGTTTTTTTCTCACATTATCTATTATAATTTAGCATCAGAAACCTCATGGTCAAATATTTTATCTGTATTTTATGAAGAGTAAATAGACGGTGGTGAAATGACTCTTTAACATCATTTGATTGGATTTTGTTTAAGATTTAAAGAAACGAGTCAGATACACGCTTTTTACAATTAATAAGAATTACATGAGTAGCTTCAATGTCGTAGATTAATGTATTTATAAAGTCACAGATTACGTTTAGATTAAGGAAATGAGGGATAAAAGTCGATGTCTCAACACATAAAACATATGATGAGGTATTAAGATATACGAATTTGCATTCATAAACTATATATAAAAACGTTGACAAACAACAAAAACAGTGGATTGTATCTTGTGAAAAAAAATGTACTTGTTCGGTCGAATATAAAACAATTAATAGACAAAAAGATTGAATCATTTACGTCATAAAGAGTGGATTATATTACAAACGCATTCTTATAATGTCTTCCTTGTTTTATTACAAGTCCTTTCGATAATGACATCTTCCTTTATTTAAACGTAGATAGATGCTTTAAGAAAGTTGCAAGCCGTTATTGACCTTTTGAGTCCCATTGTCAAATGAACAATTGATTACTCAAATGGTTTCACATACTTCAAAAATATGATGCCCAGTATATCTTTTGAAATCTTGTTGTTTATTAGAACATGTTTTTGTCAAAAGTATGAAGAAATGTATTTATTGCCATAATTTCAGTTATATTGAAGTATTAGACTGGAGCAACCAACACTAAGGCTCATTATATCTAGGTTTATCTGTAGAAAATGTGTACAAGCAAATGAGATACACGCCTCTATTACAGACTGGTACTGTTATAACATGTAAAAAAAGTAGTTTTGAGCAAATATTTTAACTGCCTTTAAAATGTTAACTTAATGTATTTAGAGCAAATTGGCAAGCTGACCTTCCGTAGCAGACAAGATAAAATTATGTTTTTGAGGACTTCTCCATCTTTAATCTGTTGACATGTCTGCTTTAGACTCGACATGTGGACAGGTCTGTTTTTTTTCAATTTTTTTGACAATTTCAATGTGGGTTGGTGTTATTTATTCCGTTGTTACACATGTATCAATTTTTCACTGTTTTAATGTTTTTCTTGTATATCAATATGTTCATGGACTTTCGTGATTCCTCAGTGACGGATTGGTGTTTGTCACAATCCATGTTCACTCCATTTATTGTTATCTTGATACTAAAAATTAAATAAGTATATACTTCTTAGCACAATTTACCTTTTGTTATAATTCAGATTTTGCCAAGAGTGTTTATTGAAACAATTTAATTAGGCAAATAAGTTATTTCTAGAAAAACATGTTGCGTAATTTCAATTGTAATTATCTATGCTTGTCATAGTCCTTGAGTTTCCACAGGAAAATGTTTCCGAAGACTTAGTCATGTTAGTCTTTGATATTGTATCCCCGACATGGGAAAACACTTTCGGTCTTGTTAGTCGCATGTTGTCTATTTGCGTATTTTGTATGATAGGAATAAGTGTTTTCTTTGTTTCACAAGCAAACCGGAATATGGCGTGATAAGTTCGGGTCAAATTTATTAAGGCCGGGCCAACGCTTTGACGTCACACAGCCGTGATATACAATTGTATTAAGACCTGAGCAGAGTGTTGCAGACAATGGAACGACCGTTAATGTAAGATGAATATCAACTCTGCTTTGTACTAGACCGACATGTGGATTTTTGACGTGCTAATTCACAGGGTAACAGTCCGCAGGCATACATATCACCTAACACATTATTCTGACTCCGAGCCTACTAGTCTTTGCTCTTACTCCTAAATGCCACGTGCTTAGTGGAGAAGCAGCAACTGCCAATTTTAAAGTTTTTGGTCTGAACCGGCAGGGGTTTGAACCCACGATTTTCTGCACTCGAGACGAACACGCGACCATGACCACCGAGGCGGTGTAAAATAGGAAATGAACAAAGACTATTTTAAACATTAAAATGATTTGCAAAGAGTGTGATTTACATAGCTAAATATAAATCTTATTGTATTATTTGTCCCTCAACTTATTGGCCATTTTAGAAAAAATCCAAATAGAAAGTAGAAGGATTACCTAAGCTTTGTTTTACAACTAACTAGAAAAAAAACAAGATCGTTTATATTTTACTGCAAAGGTAAGTTCTTACATTGTCAATATTTGAGTTTTTTTAATGTTGTTTTCTTTTTTGTTTTTAAATCAAGGATATCATATTTAAAGAACATTTTCAATAATGACATCAGGTTCTATCTACAAAAATAAGTCTCATTACTGCAGAATGATTTGTTCTGCATTAGTTCTTTTTTTTCGTTCGTTCATGATCGTTGTAACATAAGGATTAAGCAAATTAACAAACACTTCCTTTGTAAATGGGTTAGGTCAAGTTTGAGTTAAAAGTGCCTTTCTCCAAACTAATTTAAGAAACAATATGTCTATCAAATTCACAACTGAGGTGCACAACTAAATGTTGATTTTCAAGTATGACATATATACAAGTACGTTTCAGCGTATTTAGCCCTACAAATTTATTCTAAAAGTATGATAACATGAAAATAGAAATGTGTAGTATGAAGAAACTTTGAGTCTTAAACTTTAAATTCCTTCGAAATTGGAAATATCTGCTCGAGTTGAGTTGATAACTCAATTGTATAGTGGTATCTTTCAGAAGATTATTCAACGCCCTACAGGCGTTTTATAAACCAAATAATCTTCTCTTCTGAAACGCACACTTTCGTGGTAAATTGTACTTTGTTTTTTTTTAACGTGAATGATTCAGACAGGAATTGTAGTCAACTGTTAACAATTTAAAATAACCGTTTATATTTTTAGCAAAAGAATGTTGGTGCAATTTCATAGTTAATTTTATCATCTGAAAGTTAAATCGAAATTAAAATATTCTTTTACAAAATATATGGTCCTTTGCGTACTCCTGAATTTAACGTCTAATTTGAAATAGATTTCCTGTAATGACTATCTTGTTCGTCATCCTGCATACGTCATATATTATCTATCCATAATTAGTATGTTGCACTTATTCATTGATTACCATTATTCTATAGACGGTTGAATGAACTTTTGAACTCTACATTGCTTACCATTTTTTTTCATTTTTTATCACACAATACATATATATGATTTTTTTAATAAAATGCCACAATTGATGATTGTTATAATGTAATTTTTTTAACGAAATGTAAGATAAGCTGTTAACATTTCTAATCAGCATTTAATTGTAACAGAATTGCTGCTCGGGAATAATGAATCGTTAAAAATGAGGACATGTGGTATGAACGCCGATAAGACAAATATCCACTAACGTTCAAATTAAGTGGATGTAAGCAATAAAATGGCAACCTTCAACAAAAAGAAAAATCCATACCGTATAGTCGGCTTTAGCAGGCCCTTACATGAAAAATATAAATCAATTCAATTGGGAAAACAAATGGCCTAAATTATAACCAAAATAAAATTACGAAAAACAAATATAACAAACAATGATACATAAATTATTATTCTTTCTTAACATTTATATTGTTTAAGGATTTTGTGATCATCAAAATCGTAGTCAAAATTGAAACAACATGAAGTCGAAACACTCTTTGCTGTACATACAATTATTGGTTAACACAGTTTGTTGTATTTATGGTAAGTAGAATTTATATATATAAGATAATAAATTATTTAAGTTTGCAATGGGGAGTTTTCTCTTTTGTCAAGTTATTTCTTATTTCCAAGTGGAAACCTTGAATGTGAATACATCATGTACATATTATGTAAACCTTTTTTTTATTATCCGTAAATTTTCAGTCAAAGCACCTGATCTAATTATCGTATCTAGGTTATTTGTTTAAAAATAATATAGGGTTATTGAATAAATATTGATGACTATTAATCCGATCATATTTTTTATATTTCACGTGCAAGCTTGCAGGTGAAATTTATCTTCTACAAGGGAAAATAATTCGTGCGATATTTCTGTAATTGTATAGTATAGTTTAAACAACTGTTTCACGCACAATTTTGTCATTGGTGACGTCGATAAAACGAAGGTGTATTTGCCTAGTGCAATTTTTATCAATATTGTTTTTTGACGAAGTCAATAAATAATATATGGACCTGTTCCAATTATATTGACTGAAGACGAAGTATAACGTATTGACAGAGTGACAAAATACAAATTATATATCGAGAAACACGTGACCAAATAAACCAGTGACAAAGAAGAAACATTATTTTTCAAACAGACCATAACGGAAAGTAAGTGTGCAATATTTAATGATATTACATACATAGATATAAGAAGATGTGGTATGAGTGCCAATGAGACAACTCTCCATCCAAGTCAAAATTTATAAAAGTAAACCATTATGGTTGCATTTTTCTAGTTTTTCATTGGTTTATTTGGTCACTTGTTTCCCGATATAAATTTTGTATTTTTACACTATTTTATCATATTGACTCTACGTTACTATTTTCAAAAAATATATTGACTCCATGTTACTAAAAATAGTAGCATCGAGTCAATATGATTTAAAAAATAGTAACATCGAGTTAATATCCTTTTCAATACTAATTATATGTATTATATAAATTTGGGACTATCACTCAGTCAATACGTTATATAGGGACCTATTATATTATATGGATCCGTGAACTTCGTCATCGGTCAATATAATCTAAACAGGTCCATATATAGCGTATTAACCTGGTCAAAAGTCCATAATTGACTAATATTGCACACTTACTTTTCGTTATGCTCTGTGCAAATTTAATGTTGCTGTACAATAATGATGATATTGAATAAAAAATATCATCGTTATTGTACAGCAACATTAAATTTATTCAAGCATTTAAGAAAGAAAAGGAAAAAAACATTGTTAATGCCAAATGTTTGTTTTATCGATAAACAATCTAAGCGACATCAACGATACTGAAGGTGTTTATTCATTTGGTTTGTTTTGCAAAATAGAAAAGTACATTTTGCACTGCAATCATCTTTCACACCAAACGACAACATTTGGTAATGCTATTTGAGTTCGTTTTCAGTGCGAAAAGTTATTGTTTTTCTTTATATGCATCACATCATATTTTTGTAATTGTATACCGATGCCTTTTTTATACCAGCCATGCCATGTAGAATAAAGTTCCTTGTTGTTAAGAGTCAATCCGCCATGTTATCTTCAGAAAATCGTCCAAATCAGCAGTCATAACTTGAAAAAATGTTCAGATACATCATCTTACTCCTTGATATAAAAGAATTTTACCACTTGATTTGTCCCAAAATCGTTTTTTTTAGTAACAACCTTATTTATTTAGTGCTGTTATTTCATAATGAAACGATGGAAAAATCTAAACTGGTTATGCCTTTTAAGAATGACACATTATTATACTAAATGGTGTAGTTGAGTTTGTCAGCTGACATCTTCCATTATTCTTTGTTATGACCAATAAAAACGTAAGTATAAACGATATGGCACAATACCAGGAGACCGTACACGAATGCGAGTTTTTTGTACCTGAATTTACATGGTTGTCATTTGCTTATATGATGCAAGACCTGCTCCCGATAGGAATGCAACTTATATCAGTTTTTACAATTGAGTATGTTTTACATCATAACAACGAATTATGCTTGGCAATTTATTATACGATGCCAATTGAAGTCTTTGAAGAACGGTGACTTAAATCCAAAATATACACTTTTTGGTTTTGATTTTAATTGCAAACACAGTGGGAAATAAATTGCCTCATAAAATCATTTGAAAGATTAAAATCGATATGATAAAAGCAGTAAAAGTAGTAATTTACGAAGAAAAAATAAAAGAAATTTTAACTCGTAATTAAGATGATAAACAACGCCAGTACCAAGAATCTATACTTCAAGACCATGATGTATTGTTTGTGAAGGTGATACGAAATATTTATCAACAAGGTCTTGGTATCTTCCGATGAACTTTTAAAAAAAGGACGAGACGTTCCTAAATTTATTGTTTATAAAACTTTTTATTACTTGAACTTCAAAGGTTTTGGGTTGCCTTATCCATATTTTGCAACCATTTCGTAATTTTTGGTATATAATTATCTTAAACTTCGCATTAGATCACTAACAACGAGTCTGTAATCTGGCTTAACATTATTACCATTTTAACTATGATAGGTTTTTATGACTCTTTTGTAGTCGAAATGCACGTGTAGTGTACACTATTATAACATGTATAAGACTGTTATCTTTGAAGTGTTCTCATACTCATGGCCGAAGTGATTACATGTACTCGGGAATAATCCGTTTCCGCTCCTACTGTTAACGATTCATTTAGGTTTGTCTACACCTAGGTACGTTTTAACTTACAAAATATTTTCGTTATCTGAATGTCTCACTTATTATATATTTGGTTACTAGTATATGGTACCTTTGCAAGTTATACATGTCCATCAGACTTGGGTTCATCTGACTTCGAACTCATTTTACGAATCAATGAACAAGGTTGGTCATGTACGTATCACAGATGCTATAAGCGGTGGGTAAAATATATGTGGTGAATGGAATGATAGCAACGCGTAAATGTCTTTGTTGCTGAGTTTCATTTAACCTTCACTAGATGCCCCCGATTTCAAAGATCATCAGATTATGAAAAAAGTTCAGCGGTGCATGCAGTGATTTGATCTGATAAACATATTGCAATTCAATTTTGAAATAGGTGCAGTTGTGCAATCTGATGTACAATTTATAGCACATTGTTTGTAATCATCACACGGAAGATGATTTCAGTCGAAAACATCATGCAAGACCCCAGCATAGACTTAATCTTTCGATAAGGCTATTTTAAAAAAGTAAAAAAATAACAAAAATACCGACCTCCAAGGAAAATTGAAAGCGGTAAGTCCCTTATCACATGGCAAACCAAAACCAAAAGCTCAAACACATCAAACGAATGGAAAACAACTGTCATATTCCTGATTTGGTACATGACCTTATAGTTTAAGCAACAATATGATTAGTGGAATGAGATGATTCGTGTTGAATCAGTGCAAAAAAAGTTGACTTTATCTGTATTTCTAATTCTCGGTTTCTTCATAACGACTCATATTACACGCATGAAATTTGTCACACGCATGAACTGTGTTATCTTTAATCAGAATAAAATATCTTGTAATGATACACGTAATAATTTAGTTTTTAGGAAAAACATGTGAAAATGTGTTAAATTTCTTGTAAAATTTCATCTTACTAAAATCCTAAAATCAAAATTACTGAAATATTTTCAGCTTTCGTTATTTATGTTATACGATATGTCAAAAATATAAACTGTATTCTTATTCCTTTTTCGACCACCAAAAAAAGGCCGTTATTCTATCCATTTTTATTCAAAAGAAATGTTTTGTTCAACGATAAACATTTTTTATCTATATATTATTGCAAAATCTGCTGAAGGGCGTGGCACTGGCATCTGGTGCAGCTGTGTGTTTTTCAGTTTTAAATAACGTTTCCAAATTGAGATTTGTTTTGTTTTATATTTATTTTTTTTTTCAATATCGAGAAATTACGAAAAAAAGTATAACGGATATTTATAGTATGCTGTTTGTCAACATTCATTTAAAGTGTACCTGACTGTGTGGTTAGATTTTTCCTGCCTCTCGTTCATCTTCTTTATTTAGTTTCAATCTTCTGGTAATTCTGTATATCATCCTTACAAAGTTTGCCATTGCAGGTAGACAAGAAAATCTTTTGTTCTCCACTGAACATAAAGTGAAAAAGATTGATCTGGATACAGGAGTCGTGAAGGATCTAGCTAATCTTGATACAATAGTACATTCCATAGCTTACGATGTAAAAGAAAGATATGTGTATGTTCCAAGAGGAGGTGAAAATGTCATAGTTAGGTACCGTCAATTAGTAATTAGTAACTATCATCCGTAGGTTTTATACTGACATTATCTTGATATTTATTTGTATCAAACAAAAAATATGTTGCCACCAAGAAATGCATGTTATATGTCTCCCTGAACAAAACGAAAGAAAAGAAAAATAAAATTAAGAAAACATTTCTTGGTTAACTAGAAAAACAGATAAAGATGTAAAAGGTTTATTGTAAAATAAACGCTCTTTTATATCTTAGCATAACTCTTTTCACATACAGCAGGGTTGTTATATAGAAAAGGATAGTTAAAAAAAGTAATTGAGGAAAAACGAAAACCTGTTTGGTGAAGAACTACAACAGTAATTGTATTACGGTCGAAGATCAATATTTATTTTATATTTTTGCTAACAAAAAGTTTTCTCATTTTTTCAGATTCCCTTATCCAAATGATGATCAGACTGTAAATTTTGAAACTGTTATCTATACAGACAGACCATATTACGTATCATTTGACTCAAAAAACAGTCATCTATATTGGACCGAACAGGAAAAATTAGAAAAAATTATGAGATGTAATTCAGATGGATCCAATTTAACCATCATTGTTAAAGAATTTAGTCTAACTGCATTTACATTAGACACACATCATAGGTTTGTTATTTTATTTACTCTATGTTCTTTAATGTTTGTTATTTTACTGTCATATCCTGTTGTTAGGAAATGCAAGTTGAATTGCATTAATGCTATTCTAAAACAACATGTAATAAGCATATGATATCATTTTAATATCAACTGTTGATATTTATCTTAGTTTTGAATAGAACAATGTTGATTGCAGTTTTTAGTCCATATGTGAGGACAACGTTGTCACTTTGTTTGATAATTTGTACAGACTTTTAATGATATATTGTTAATTTCTTTTTCATTTGGTCTATTGTGGAAAGTTGCCTCATTGACAATCATACCACATCCTCTTTTACGTTGTATAACAATGTGATTCAAAATTAACCTGTTTGATTATTTACACAAAATTGTACACATCTCAACTTTACTTTAAACATGCATTACAAAATGGAAAATCACATTGGTAAGATAAGACTGATACGTAGAGTGTTCCCAAATATCCTACAATAAAACTTAAAGCCATATGCATCAGGCTATTGCAATATAATGATGCAAATAATACATTGATAGGTTTATTCAGATAATTGTATTGTTCTATTACATAATGTTCAGAAACTATCACATTTTAAATCTTCACAAATATTAATTTGTACAAATATACATCTTTTGAACTCTATCATTTCTATATATCAAAATATCAGATGGGTGCAGTCATAATTCTGTACAAATTAACTTGCTGAAAACTTTAAATTGACTGGTGAAGTATTCGATGCGAAATGTTTGATATCTGCTCTGACTGATTTTACACCAAATTCAATGTTAAAAAGCAAACTTGGTGCTATTGAGACTATTTTATAGCTCCTGAATAGAATTCAAATTTGACAAAAAATTATAATTAAGAAGGCCTAGGGATAGAGTAACTTCGAAACTAGTCATGCACATCGGTCATATTGACTCGCACTGCCGAGAACGAACTCGACCCTTTCTAAAATTGACTTTATATCTTAGGTCACCTTGTGATCAGAATCATTTTTTGAAAATGGATGCGTAGATGAAGTAAAACTCAAACTAATCGCACGTTAACGCTGTTATCACATATTTGTCTAGTAAACACGATATTCCTTATATTCACGTTATGGTTGTATTATAAGAAACTTTAAATGTCTTCCTGAATACTCAACCCACATTTACTTTAACAGTTTATTCAGTAGTCTATGTAAATTTACCACGCATTTCGAACGTATTCTGTTTACGCGCACTTGAAAGTAAACGTCCGTTTACTTTTCAAGTTCACTCTTTATGGAAATTATTGTAATACATTACATATTATGATTAAAGTCTATATCAAATTTCACTACTTTCATATATATTCAGGATAATTTTAAAGTAAGTTGTATACGCTTCTTGTAATATTTCTAATTTGATTACAAAACAATCAGTTTACATAACATTGTCTTTCTTTTTAGTGTTTTAGTGGTTTATTCATATGTTGCTTACCAAAAATATTTTCAGAAAATGTTCCTAAACGAAATACTGCGAATCTGTATGTTACCAAACACTATGGTACGGGTTAACCTACTTACAGTTGATATTACTGGTCAATACAACACGACTTTAAATAAAACAGAGATATTGACTCAAATGAGTTTTTAACAAACAATCATTTTAACATCTGCGTACTAGACGACTGATTAAATTTAACAATGTTTTATTGATCTTTGTATATACTGCATATAGGTTTTTTTTCGCATCGGCTTTTTTTCGCGGTATGATGACAAATGGGCAGGTTAAATTTTCTATGTGTATGATTTTACTGAATGAGAAAATACACGCGAAAAAATAAGTCTATCGTATTGTAAAAAAACTTGATTAACTTACAGGTAATGGAGTACATATAAATATGAGCACTACAAACGAAAATACACATAATTCAGTGAACTATCATGGAACGTAAATTGTGTACAAATAATGTACACTTGGCATTCTAAAAGTTGAAGGTTTTGATCATTATAGATATTAGACCAGCGGTAGAAACGCAAAAACAAAACAAAATTAACTCACCCATCGATCACACGGCCAAATCATATATCACTGAAAAGACAAAATTGTACACTTTCAGATTAATGATGCCGTAAGCCTGAGAAATGGTACAAATTCGGCATAATGGGGGTCAAGGGTCAATGATTTATATTTCCAAATAATTTCTTAACTGTAAATTTCGGGTTAGATACAGGAATTATAAATATATTGTAAAATTAGAGATGACAATTTTATTCTGTATTGATGAAACCTCTTAGCTATACCAATTTTTTTTATAAAAACGTTTTTTAACGAAAATATGACGTTTACATTAGCTAAGAAATTTTGCTTGTTTGTGACTTCATTTTAAACAAAGATAACCTTAAACTTTGATTATGCAAATTTACTTTAAAATGAAGTCTTCAAACGACTCGTTATTGTGCAAATCTTGAACGCCATCATCATCATTGGCGTTATCATCATCGTCATCATTGTCATCGTCGTTATCATCATCATCGTCGTCGTTGTCATCGTCATCATCGTCGTCATCATCATCATCATCATCATCATCATCATCATCATCATCATCATCATCATCATCATCATCATCATCATCATCATCATCATCATCATCATCATCATCATCATCAGCATCATCATCATCATCATCATCATCATCATCATCATCATCATCATCATCATCATCATCATCATCATCATCATCATCATCATCATCATCATCATCATCATCATCATCATCTGTTAGTTGTGTAATGAAATTTCGACAAAGGTCTGGTGCTTGATATTGATGAAGTTAAATACAGGACAAATTCTGTTCAAAACACACCATACCCTTACTGCACATAGATTTTCTTTGCATGTGTACACTATATATTGAAAGAAATCAGATGACATTTGACCTTCAAACAAGACCGGTTCAAGACCAAACTGTCCTTCTTTTCAACCAAACTTTAAACGCAACCTAAAAATCGACTTGGCTTTATGCGCATTCATCCATACTTTAATTAAGTTTGGAAAGAAGACCGTAAGACGTGTTATTTAAATGATGCTTCACAGGCGGAAAGTTGGACCAATCTAAAATCTTTACAAGCGGTCAATTTAACATGAAACCTAATCAAAATGTTATGGCAACGTTTGGACTTTCCCTTCGGATAATAAAGCCTAAAAACTTGGTGCATATGTGACAGTTGTTCGACAAGAACGTGAATCTGCGACTTGGCAATAAAATCCAGTCCAAATAGGGTCGTTTGCTCAGTTATTTTTGGAATTTCCATTGGAAATTAAGAACTTCTCTGAACAGGAGTCGCAGCAAAACTAAAACTAAATCTGATGGAGCTTCAAAACTTTCGGAACAAGCCACATGATTTTAACTATATGCATACTTGACGGAGAGGCTCAGGGCGCTCATTTGGCTTATCAAACGGTAAACGATTCATCAAAGACATCGTCTGTTCATTGATTGGTAGTTATTTTTCCTGCCCTCGTTTAGCTTTAATTTGTTCAACAGAGCTTGAATCAGTCATTTCTGTAAGCGACATGCATTTTTTGCATTTTATCTGTAGAAGTTTGATTGATTTTGGTTTGTAACGGCCAGAAAAGATTTTTCATCAATTAATATACATACAAAATTGGTCAGGTTAGGTGGCATTGATTGAATTGACAACGGGAGAGAAAATTCACAAGGCGTTGGGTAATAATCATTCCTTAATTGAGGATATGGTCCGGCAGATCGATGAAACAATTGTGGGTTTGATGATAAAAGCACCAAATTTGGCATGGTAGTAGTTCTGGGTGTTTCAAACAATATTAGCTATGAACCCACCTTGAAATTTCAATATGGCGGTCAACATCAATGCCAAATTTGGCATGATAGTAGTGCGGGATGTTTTGTCCACAGTCATCGAAAACATTAGTTGATTATCGTTAGGGCAAATATTCAAATGCAGTCGTATTATTCCATTGATGCAAATACGACGATATCCATTTAAAAGTTACTTCTGTCTTATTCTTCTTTAATACTACATTCAACTCAACTAGAACCATCTAATGTATATGACCCGTCTACTGGATGCCTGGACCAGTAAAGAAGGTACTAAATGACAAAATGTACAGTTTGCATTGGTCGTTTATGTATGATCCAATTATTCATTTATCTACAGTACTAGAAGATTCCATCTATGAACCATTCGTATTGAATATGTGCATCCTTCCGCGAATCCTGGTGCTTTTACAACAGCAGCCGTGGACACTATTAACAACAACAAAAGTTCAACTACGGCTGAAAAATCGTCACATTGTACGACCATTTCCATATTTCTGATTTTTTTTGTCTAACTTGGCTTATTCTGAATAACCTAATGCTTTGAAATATATGCATATCTTTATTTTCTCTGATACTATTATAATTATTACTCCAATAGATTACACGCCATTACAACTGTTCGTATTATTGCTATAACTTAGTAACTAATAATATTGAATAATGTTTCAGGCAGGGATCAAATCTGATTTCTTTTTTCTGTAGTCAAATCGGAACAGTGGAACTGGACAAACATATTTTAGCACAACAAAGAGTAGTTTTGCTTTAGGTATTCATATAGGAAAGACATGATTCTTTGGAAACCTTATAGTGATTCGTTAAAAAATAGTAATTGAACAAGTGTTCAATAAGGAAACATAGTACTTCATAAAAAGTACATTCATTTTAGAGGCTCTCATGCATCATAAACATGAGGTTGCAGTATGTGTAATTCTCATTCTTATAAAAAGATACTAACATAAATAGGAATGAGACCCTGGTGAGAACTATGTAACATTCTGGACAAGGCACCGTATTCATGTGCTGTATTTGTGCCATATTTTATTCAGTTGCTCAAGAAGGACAAGCTGCTTATGTGCTATTTTTTAAATAGCTTGATGACTCATATCCAGTATCACCAAATTTAAGACATGTTGGTATGTGTAAAGTATGTAAAATTCGACCAAAT